ACACACACACACACACACACACACACACACACACACACACACACACAGCCTCGGTGCTACTGCCTCAACAGCTCGGTCACCACGGGTCTTAAGGCGAGTGCGTAGGACAGACAGATGATTTAACACGTTTGACCTGAGAGCTCAGGCGGGTGAATAGGGGTGACGTAGTTCAGCCACATGTAGGAGTCTGACTGTGTAGTGCTCTGTGAGTGAGGGTGAGAATCTTAAAGTGGATCCTAAATGCTACAGGGAGCCAGTGGAGAGATCGGAGTACGGGGGTGATGTGAGACCGTCTATTGGTCCTGGTGAGTAATCTGGCGGCAGCGTTTTGGATGACCTGTAAACGGTTAAGAGCAGATACACTGAGTGAGGAGAAGAGTGAGTTACAATAATCAACGTGTGAAGAGATGAAGGCGTGTATGATCATCTCTAGTTCAGCTGTTGATACCACAGATCTCAGTTTACTGATATTTCTTAGGTGGAAGAAACAGGATCTGGACATCTGGACACATGGGGGTCAAACGACACTGATCGGTCAAACACTACCCCTAGGTTACGCAGGTTGCAGTGGGCAGCAGAGGAGAGTGGACCAATACTCTGCCTGATCGTAGGGACAAACTCATCTGGTACAATAACCAGAACCTCCGTCTTGGTGCCGTTGAGTTGTAAGCAGTTTTCTGTCGTCCAGTCTCTGATGGCATTGACACAGTCCAGGAGCCTGTTACTGTGAAGGCCTCACTGGGTTTGAATGGAAAATAGAGTTGAATATCATCTGCATATAAATGAAAGGACACATTATGACTCTTTATAATCTGTCCCAAAGGCAACACATATAGGGAAAATAACAGAGGCCCCAGAACCGACCCTGTGAGCTAACAGACACAGTCTCCCACAGACGTAAAACTTCTGTCAGCAGGTAAGATGTAAACCAGTCTCACGCTATGCCAGATATGCCCACCCAGTCACGTAGCCTCTTAGTAGATAGAGTTGCACCTGAACCATCTGCAGCTTTGATTTTGAACCGTTTAATAAGAGGTCAGCGCCTCCAAGTTTAGTGCTGTGGTAGTCTGTTAGAAAACTTCACACTTCAGGTTTAGAGAGAGTTACTGCCCCAAAGGTCAGATATGTTGAGCTCTTGTTTATTGAGTACATCAAAATGTTACATTTCTATTTCGCACCTCAAGTTAATAAAAGACGTAATAGTTTCAAGATGATTGTTCTCTGCAGGCGTACATAGTAAGTAGTTAATGAAGAATTAACTACTTACTTCAGCATACATTTTCTGAATGAAATCAATGATGTTGGACATTTTAACAACTGTTATACCACTTTTTATATTTTCAAGCCCATGTTCGGGGGGCAGCACACAGTTTATGAGGTGATGGGTTGAGACCGAGGCGTAATTGTGGAGTCAGATCCAGTTCATCCTCTGAAACTCCAGGTGGAGGAGTGAAACGAAAGTTCTGCAGGAGGCTGGTGAAGAAGATGAAGAGCTCCATCCTGGCCAAACTCTCTCCGGGACAAGCTCTGCGACCTGCAAGAGAGAAGAAAGGAAAGTTTACTTGCAGATGACCTGAAGCCTAAGACTTAACAGAAAGTTACCCCTCAGCTCACAAACCTGCAGAAAAAGGCATGAAGGCTTCTCGCTTGATGAACTTCTCATCTTTGTCCAGGAAGTGAGCAGGATGAAAGCTGTGTGGGTTCTCCCACTCACTCTCATCATGCAGGACAGATATCAAGAGAGGAATCACTGCGGTTCCCTGTAGACGATACAAACATTGGAAATAGTTTTACATGTAGGTAAAGTATTCTTATAGAACTCATTAAAATGTCTCACACCCAGAAAATACCTGCTCGATGTAACAATTGTCACATTTGTTTTAGAGCATGAAGATGAGTATAAAGTGATATTATGTGTTTTATTCAGTTGGACCTTCTTGATGAAGTGACCCTGGAAGATCACATCCTGGGTAGTTTTGTGAGGAAGGGACATTGGGGCAATGCTGACTAGTCTCTGTGTCTCATGGATGACAGCGTTGGTGAAGTGCAGGTTCTTCCTGTCCTCCGCCTGCACTTCACGACTTCCTATCACCCTGTTCAGCTCCTCCTGGACCTGGTCTGGAAGATACAAAAGCTTTTGTTTCATATAGACAATTTATCCACATGTTGTGGCTTGGACTGAATGTCTTTCTGTGAAACTTGTGCCTTACCTTGTATTTTTTTATACTTGTCCATAATCAGATATTAGCGTTATATTTCTTAGCATTTAGCTTTTAGTCTCTAGTGACCACAACAGTGGTTTAAGACTCTTACTCTTGTTTTTATGTTGATATGCAGTCGAGTAGAAGTATAAAGAAGCATACAAATACTAAAGTAGAGTATAAGTACCTCAAACTTGTTCAGTACTTGAGGAATTTAGAGGGATACAAGGATACAAACGCAAAAACAACCAAAGCAAACATTTCATTACTAACAAAGATTGTGTATTTATTGAAGTTCCTCCTTCGCTCCACAGTTTGTCTCGTCTCGAGGCTCCACGGGATTTTACTTTGAGACTTTTACTCGTTGAGGTTAAAAATCAGAAAGAAAAGGAAATCGTGTGCAAACATCAACCGCTGAACAGCTTTCCTCAAAGATAATTATGCATCTTCTTAGTTGTAATTATTCTGAAATATTCATGTGACTTAAACAGTTCTGAGGAATGTCATGGGAAAGTAAAGCAGGTCGGGAGGACTCTGTACGGAAGCCCAGAGGGGCCAGTGAGGACAAAATAAATGATCTACTGTATTTTCTAAGTCTGATTTAAATTGTTTTTCTCTGCGTGTTTAAAGGGTTTTGTCAAATAACATTTTAATTTTATTTTCAAAAAATAAAACAATAAATCAACTTAAACAACAAAGGAAGGTTGTTGCGCATAAACACATATCCCTGACAATAATAAAATAAATATAAAAAATAAATTAAAATATAAAAAAATGCACAAAAAATTACAATTAAAATTACAATTAAAATTGCATACCAAATAAAATAAATTAAATTGTAACAATTACATAGAATACTGAGCAAATCAAGCACAATCAGGATAATCTTTCTAAAGGCCTGATGAACACCGTTGAAGCACTTTTAAATAAACTGTTTTTAATAGATTGAAAGAAGACTAACTACCGGATCCCGTTGACCCGGAGCAGCGTCAGTCCGTCTGAGCTAAACTGCTTTTGTTGCCTAAACCTAACTTGATTTTTTTTAACGTAATGTCGTTCTGAAAAATAATGTAGTTCCAAGCGACACTAAAAATACGGACATTTCACGTCTGCGAAACCAATAGATTGACCTGCTGTGACGATGTTATTCTCAGAAAAACTGAAAAAATCCAGAGAAAGAACAAAACTCTTGAATAAACACACTGATGTGCAAATGAATCGTACAAGTGTGTAAAGTTCCTTATCTTTTCTTTCATCTGTGAAATAAACACAAACATCTTCAGTGTGAAGTGGTTGTTGTTGTAATACACGTTTTGGCCACAAGAGGCGGAAGTGCACCACTGCCTCAGCTTTCTTCCAAGTGAGTTTAAATTGACATCCTTTGCTAACACACATTATATTTCCCTTGTGTTTAGAGTACATGGAGACATTTCACCGGTTTTTCCACCCGTTTCAAATATCAACTTTTTCTAAAGGAATTTGGAAAATGAATCTGGCAAAACCAGAATTCATATCTTCTGGGCTTCCGTACATGGAAAGACTGTTCCAACAAACAAACACACACTGAAGAAGATTAACTTCAATGTGGAAAAAATGTTTTAAAAAAAATCATTTTGAAAACACATTTTCAAACAATTTTTTAAATTTCTCTAAAGTTTGTAGAAATACACAAAGTTATATTTAGTCGTTAAAGTTGAAATTATTCTCCCTCCGATTTAAAATCAATACCTCAGACTTATTTCCATATTTATTATAGTAATAGCTTAGTGTAATTGTTGTCCCTTTTCTGGAGTTTACAAAAACAAAAAAGTAATTTTATTATAACAAATGAAAACATAAAAAGTATAATAACAGATCAAACACTTGAAATCCAGTTCCAGATGTATTAATAGTGTTTTTAAATGCAGTTACATTAGTTTGAAATTGTTTGTGTTGAAATATTTTAATAAAGTCCAGCTCAGTGTTTTTATGGCTGCAAATAAATGAACTTAAACGCGTAAGAATTGATTAATTCTCTTTATTTAAATGATCTTTATTAAAGCATCATGTTCAGAAATCAGTTTGAGGCTGAACGAGTCACAGACTCAGAGCTTCAGAGACGTTCACGTTTAAACCGGAGGACAGAGCCTTTAGAGAAGACAGACTCTGCTTCTTATTTATACATATTTGATCTTTTACATGTTGAATATTCTCTTCAGACTTCAGGAGGTAAAAACGGGCTCCAGAGGAACACGAGGAGGTTCAGTTAAGAGTTTAAATAAATGAAATATAGACTTTAAAAGTCTAAAACACATCGAACTAACCAACAACTCTGCAAAAGATTAGTCAATAAAAACCACAAATATTAAAGAGGATGCATGAAAGATATATTTAGAATTTAATATTTTCTTCATCCAGTTAATTAAAGTTTCTATAAACTATATTTATTCTATCATGAAGACCTAAAAAGTCTCCACATTGAGATGAATACAATCATGTGCAAGAAATGCTGACCACGGCATTTATTTACATATTTTTGTATCTTAAAATAAAGTCAAATAAACATTTTGTCTGAAACTGCTGGAATCAGTTCATAAAATAACTTAAACTTAAATGATATAAAGTTCCAATACTTTGAAGTTAAGTCTCATGTAAAGATTAACAAAAACTAAAACTCACAATAAAGTAAAAATTCCTCCATCAGTGTTACGCTGATCAATACCTCGACATGAATATTAATATATCATCATATGCAATAATAATTAAAGGTTCAAATACAAAATAAACAGAAGCACAAACATCCACATCTATAATAATAATAAAATAACACTTTAAATATAGACACTTTGTTTTATTATGATTATTAGAAACATATTTTAGTTAATTCATATTATTGTATCTATAAAAATGTTACATTAGGTTGCGATGTTTTTTATATATATATACATATATATATACATATATATACACACACACACACACACACAGTATATGATATTATAACGGGTTAAAAACATAATTTATGAGGTGATTTAACGGTAGCAGATATATTATTGATCAGTTTAATATTGTATTGATCAGAGGCAACAATAGTCCATATAATCATATTAATTCACCTAAAACTGATAATAAACAGACGCATGATAAGTCCTTATGGAACTTAATATCATCATTTACATAAAGTCATTATTGATCATAAGCAGAATTAAAAGGCCTTTCAGCTTCACCGTAAACTCAGAGGATTCAAGAGACAAAGAAGTTAATAATCCTGTAAATATAAGATTAAACATCAAAGAGCATAAAGTAACTTTAGAGGAACTACTCATTAGATATTATAAGAGTTTAACACTAAACTCACCTCCGACACATTAGTGAGAGAATAATTATAACAGACAACAAGTCATTAAGCAGCAGCAGAGACTCATGAGTCTTTATAATAACAGAGACTTGAGGAGTGTTTCAGAACATAAAATAGGTTTTAAAACAAGAATAAAAAGGTATTTCAGCTATGAGGTATATTCTTTAAATGCATAAAACAGGATCTAAGAGATTATTATAAAGCATAAAGTAACTTTAGATGCAGATATAATAAGAGTTTAGGGGCAACATGAAGTCCTTTATATCATAATTATAAGAGATATGAGAGTTAGAAACGTCTCTCAGTAGAATGAATTCACTTTAACCTGATTATAATCTACATAATCTATCTACATAATCTATAATCTACCACAGATACATATTCTGTTATAGCCTCTATGGATTATGTTGTAACATTTGTAAAAAGCTTCTTTAAATTACATAAAGTCATTAAAGATGAGCAGAGATACATAATATAATAACAGACTTTAAAGAGAGCCAGAGGCCCTTTAAACGGAATATTATAGATAGATATTAAATAATAAATAAAGGCCTCCGAGCTGTAATTAATTCACCTTTAACACACAAACAGCTGGACGTTAAGTCCGTTTAAGATGAATTTACTCCCCGGTGTGTCTCCGGTCCGTCGGCCGGTCTCCTCTCTCTCAAAGCCCGCAGCAGCAGCTCTGAGCCCCGGGGAGAAGCTCCGCTGAGGTCCCGGTCCCTCCTGCAGCCGAACGGTTCACCGGAGAGACGAAAACAAAAAAAAATGTTTTTTTATCCGCTGCAGGCAAAGGAACCAGAGAGCGCGTGACGTGACGCAGCAGGTCAGCAGGTGATTGGCTGCTCGGACTGTTCACGCGGAACCGGACCGGCACGTTTTAAAGGTGCATTTTATATTATATTATATTATATATAAGTATTATTATTAGTTAAAGAGAAACCTGTAAATACACGATGTGAAACGTTTTATATCCTTCACATTCAGAGGAAAAATAATATTAAAATTAAAGTAATGAAATGAATGAAGTCAAAGTCCTGCAGAAATAAAAGGTTGGAGATGAAAGAGGTCTGCTGTGCATCTTTGGATGGATTTATACTTTAATTAAACGACTTTTAAGACGTCACTAACTGATTCTCTCTGTGGATGAACTAACTTCAGCTCCGTCACAAAAATAATCTAAATAAATGAATAATAAAAGAGAAAACATGATTTGGAGATTTGAATCTTTAAAAAGTTATTTTAAATATAAATGTTGAGTTAATTTCTACTTTTGTTATAATTAGACAGACATGTTGAAAATACATATAACATTTATAATAAATGATTATACATTAGTAAAGTAGGTTAAGTAAAGAAAACAAAAAGAGGTCATTGATGGCACTTTACCAAATTAATAATTAAGTGTTTTGTTTTTACTATTCGAGCAATAAATTATCCTACATGTGCTAAATAAATATAGTCTGATTATCATACATCTGTGATTTAATGATAAAAACAGATTTACGTGAAACAAACTGAACAATAACAAAGTTTAACTAAAAATGTCTTCAAACATTTATCTTCACAATCAGTAAAGATAAAATAAAGAGTTCAGGACAAAGAAACGAGGAGTTGATCATTTAGTTTGTTGGAGTTCAATCACTTCAAATAACTTCAGTAAAGGAAGATGTTAACTTTAAACTTCGTGTCGAGTTAGAAGATAAAACTGCAGTTTTCATTCAGATCAGCTCGTGCAAATGAAACTGAAACAGACCTGAACACGCGCATGCGCACACAAATTATAGTTATAAAACAGACAGGTGTTACAAGTTAGACAGAGCGATAAGTGGTCCAAAATAAAATGGAAAGTTTAAACAAAACGTTTTCCATCATGTAAATAGAGTAAAATATTAATCTTTCAAAGCTGCTAATATTATTAACAATAAAGTGATTTTATTTATATTATTCTGTGTTTTAAAAGAGTGAATTCAGCGGAAAGTGAAGCTCGACTGAAACTTTAAAACCATTTGTGCCTCCGCGTCTTTCTCGTTCGGGTCAAACCTTCATGAGAAAATAGGTCCAAACTGTTCTCTCCACTTACCTCCGTGATGTCAACTTGCCTTTTGTTGGCTGCATGTGTCCGCGTCGCTCCGCCCCTCCGCGTGTGTGTGTGCGTGTGCGCGTGTGTTGGGAGTCTCCGGTCCGGCGGGATAAGGACTCAACTCGTCTCCTTCCTTTGCAGCCGATCAGCTGGACTTGTTTCCTGCAGGGAGATCGGACGAGTGCACGCAGCCGGAGGGAGGGAGGGGGACGCAGGCAGAGAGCGGCCGGACAGACCCGGAGACCACGAGCCAGCCAGAAGCACAGCGGGGGGCGTCCGCACCATGTCCTTCAGCCCAAAGCACTCCACCCCCTTCTCAGTCACCGACATTTTGAGCCCAATGGAGGACAGCTACCGGAGGTTCGGAGGCATGGATCCCGGGTCCCAGCTGGGCACCTACCGGCAGCCGCAGGTCTCTCAGCCCGGTACGCAGCATCATCAGCACCAATCGGCGCAGCAGCAGCCGCCTCATCTCCATCACCATCACCACCACCATCACCATCACCACCTGTCCTCCGCCTCTTCATCCTCATCATCCTCCTCTTCCTCAGCAGCAGCCGCAGCGGGACCCGGAGGGCCCTACCAGCACCACCACCACCACCACGTGCCCCACGGGGTGCCGCAGTTCTCCGGGCCCGTCGGAGGGTTCTGCAACGGCGGCATCGGGAACGTCGGAGACCTGCCGTCCTACCAGGAGACGGTGAGGAGCGGAGGAGCAGCAGCGGCGTGGTACGGAAACCCGGAGCCCAGATACCCGACATGTAAGAGGGGCTTCAACTAAAAGTTCTAAATACGAGAAGTTTAACTGAAAGAAAAAGGAGGAACGTGAGCTGGAGACGTGAAACATTCCTTAAATGAGATTAAAGTGACATTTTACCGTTTATTATATGGCACCTTAATTTACAATTAACTCCATTTATTAAGACCTCAAGCCTTCTCACAATTAAATGTTGTCACTTTAAAACACTTAAATATTATTAAAGGATCTATTAAATAACATAACAGCATTTTTAATCATAAAGTGACCACAAATGGTTAATAGTCCTCAATAATTATTTTAAATGTTTGAACTCTTATAATAGATATTCATATTATAATAATTAGATCTTATATTTACTTTAACGGATTTATAAAATAAAGATAAACGGTAAGCTTATAGAATATAAAGCACGATGTTTTGCTGTTTCCACTTATTTAATATATTTTTATTTCTTATTATTTTATAAATGTTTTTAAGTGTTGTTTTTTTTAACAAAACACTAAATTCATCAAGACCGTAATGTTCGCTGAATTAAATCCATAATGTATTTCATTATTTAACATAATTAATCAGAGATTTAGTTTTATTTGTTTGTTTTTATCCAAACGATGATTTCTCCGCTAAGTTTCCAGATTCATGGGCCCGTCCTCCGGGATGAACATGTCCGGGATGGTGGGCAGCTTGGCCGGGATGGACTCCGCCAAGTCCATGGTGACGCTGCACGCAGCGCCGCGGAGGAGGCGGCGCGTGCTCTTCTCGCAGGCGCAGGTGTACGAGCTGGAGCGGCGCTTCAAGCAGCAGAAGTACCTGTCGGCCCCGGAGAGGGAGCACCTGGCCGGGCTGATCCACCTCAGCCCGAACCAGGTCAAGATCTGGTTCCAGAACCACCGCTACAAGCTGAAGCGGCAGTCCAAGGACAAGCAGCCGCTGCAGCAAGACGGAGGAAGCGGCGGTGGAGGAGGAAGTCTGTGCGAGACGACGACCCACCACCGCTCCTCCTCCGTGTCCCCGGTGCTCTCCAAGAACGGCAAGGGCTGCAGGAACGACTCCAGCGGCTCCAACCAGACCGGAAACCGACAAAGTAGCTCGGGGGAGGTCATGGCGGTGACCCCGCAGCAGCAGCAGCAGCAGCAGCAGCAGGTGAACCAGCTGTCGTCCACCGAGGAGCTGGACGATTTGTCCCCGAGTCCGCCGCTGGGACTGCACGGTCAGATCAACATGACGCAGACGGACGCGGCGCTAATCGAATACACAAACAGCATGATCGGCTCCAATTTACTGTACGGGAGAACTTGGTAGGGACACCGGGAGGAGGACGGTACGGGAGCAGGCCTGTGAGGACCTCATTCTCGGGTTGGATTCTTTTATTTTTAGGAGAACCGGCTGGAGGACAAAAACAAGCACCACTATTTTGTATTTTCTTTCAGTGCGTAAAGCTCTGGTTCCTTTACGCACACACTCAAGAGACATTCGGTGGTTTTGAGCAACACGGTGCAAACATAAAACTGTATATTACATCCTGCTCGGAGTGTTAATAATGTATTTTCTTCTTCTTCAAAACGAAATATTTGTCTTTTTTTGTAACCGACAGACTGCTGCTGCGTTTAAACCATGAAATCTGACTCGAGGGTCTTCAGGATGAGGCACGCCCGCTGTGCTTCCCGTTCATCTACACCACTAATTAAATTATTGCAGGTTTGTGTATATATATATATATATATATATATATATAAAAAAAGTCGATACAAAGTGAAGCAATAGAGGCGGGAACAATAATCTACACCTTTCTCTGGAATTAAAGGAATTGAGAAATATTTTTCATTGGAAGTAAATCAGTAAACATTCTTTTGTCAGAACTTCTTTCCAGTATATTGAATAAATGATATTTTCATTTTGGACATTTCGATTCTTTTTTATTTTTGTGGACTCTGAAGCATTTTTACAGTGTTTTTAATATGATATTTGGAGCAATAACTAATTATTTAAATGTTAGAAACGGAATATAAACTGGAAATACTTCAGATTATCTGCAGGTAAAAGAAATCGTTATTCTATCGGGAGTTTAATAAAAATAAGTGACTTTAAAAGTGTGTTTTGTTTAATTGAAATACAATGAATGAATAGATGAGATTGTTGCTGTATACAAATAGAATCCCAACATCACCATTATTCTTTTATTTCACATGTTTTTGAACACGCTGGAGAGATTTCTCTCAAAAATAACCACGTGGGACTCTTTGTCCTCGACACACTTGTGTTTTACAAGTTTTACAGGTTCTGTCTTAAAAATCACAAGTTACACAATACATCGGTTTGTAGGTTCAATAAAAAGGAAAAAAAAACACTAATTCAATTGTAAAAGAAGACAATAAAACGAAAGAAAAAAAAAAGACATGTCTGTCACCCCCCCCCCCCCCCCGAAAGTCCAACATTACTTTGAGTTTAATTCCAGTTGTATCTTCTGGATGGAGGAGGCGCAGGGTAACCTCGGCCAGAGCTGTAGCCCTGAAACACACACACGTTATGAAGTTACATTTTAAATAAAGTCAGACGTCTCACACAAGCACATTATTATATTAAAAATATATAAATGTGATTCAGTTCATTTCATTTATCTTTTTTAGAGATTTGACGGTTTTTAAATAATAGTTTATTTCTCATTTTCTTTCAGGAATCGACACGTTTTCTTCACATGGATCAAAGACGTATTAATTCATTAATAAATGTATATTTTATTTAACCTGAACGTTCCATTAAGACACATTCTCTAAGTTCAAGGTTCAGCAGGTACAAATCATTTAAATAATATCCCATCAATCAGATCGAAAAACAAAAACTGTTTTCATGTTGAAAAAAGAAAAGAAATGAAAAGTAAACACATTTGTATTTTAATGAAAACGTTTCATGTAAAGTGTCAGAAGAGTTTTTAGATTCTCTTCAGGATTTAACACTTTAGTCAAATTTAACTACATGTTTTAAAATGTTATATTTTTTCAATTGAAGCCACTTTTTAATTAAAAAGGTGTTTTCAGTTTTCTGATGAAGAAATAATCTGGTTTTTGTTTTCCGTTAGTGCTCAAAGATTATATTTAGTGCGATGAGGAGAAATGTAACAAATGTTCTGATTGGTCGAAAGTCTTTAGATCTGCTTCAGGAAAAAAGAACAAATTAAGAAAAACACTAAAATTGTGTTTATTAAATCTCTTTTATATGTTGTTCTTTTTACACTGCATACGTATATCTTTAATAATCAACCTGTTGTTACTTCATAGATATTAAGGTTTATGAATATTTTTTTTAGATTTGAGATTTGACAAAATTAAAGAAAACGTCCAAAAGAATTTAATAATTTTCAGTTGAGGGCAAAACGAAGTTAAAACCTCTGACAGTGAATTCCATTTACCTCCATTGATTTTGGGACGAAATCTCAGAAATATATATAAAAAACTTCATTAGCATTTACCGGTGATTAGAAATCACAGGAAAAATTTTTATGAATAACGGAGCAGAAACAATGAGTCGATTGATCGTTAATAGTCAACAATTTGTAATATTTGGTGCTCTTCTGTTTCACATGATAATACTGTAAATTGGGTAGTCTGTCTTTTATAAACAGTTAACAATGAATTGATTAAACTAAAAAAAAGAATGGATGAATATATCGGTAGATACAAATATTCAGACTTCTAAAACAGTTTAAAACTAACTTTACATCAACATCCTGATCAGCTGAAGAAGAATCCAGAAAAACAGGATAAAAATGTAAGATTGCGAACAAAAATTCCCGCTAACCAGTGACTCGATCCTCTCAAAAGGAGTTCCATTGGTTGGTTGGTTTAAAACTTCAGCGTCATCGGCCAATCAGATGGTTCTGGCTCCATAAATCACAGCCTGAACTTCATCTCTTTACAACTCTATTAAAGGTTTTAATTTTACGCCACACATTGAAGATGAAACTGTGACTCCGCCCACAAGCTGGTCAGCACAGACCAGCCCGCGGTAACCCACAGTACCACAGGCAACCAGCTCCAGGCCTTTAGTCTTCTACCTTTTACTATGTAAAGAGATAGGGACAAGAAACAGCAACATGTGCACAATAAAATAAATATATCAAAGAAATATATCTTAATTATTTTTGATATTTAACTATTATTTAATTGATAATATTTTAAATATTGCTGCAACAGTCAGAACCAGAAGAGCGTCCGTTTTAGAGACGACAGTGAAGCAAAATAAAGTTGTTTGACTCGGGGGTGAAAACATTTTTACTGTATTTTAATAAAACTAAAAACTATGAAGAATTTAGTTCCATTACTGCTAAAAGCTTTTATTGTTATATTTTACATTTCCACCATGAAGCTGACTTACGTCTGCCTTAAAAGGACTCGATGAGGCACCTTTAAAAACCCTCGGCGTGGTTAACCAGAAGCGGACGCCATTTTTAGGAGTTGTGGACGAGGCCTCCTTACCTGGTGCTGTTGTCCCCGGGTGTCTCTGCGGTCGTCTCTACGATCTCTCCACTCGTCTCTGCGGTTATCGAACCGTTGCTGGTAGCCGCCCGTCGGCGCCGTTGATGCCGGCGCTCCAGCCAGAGCCCCTCC